ACATCTACCGTCTCTTCAACCTTTTGGGTGAAATTGTTGTAGACACGGTAAGTGTGAGAGTTTGAGCCGTAACCAAGTAGGAATCCCTCGTGAGATTTAGGTGCAAATGTAAAACGACGATGCTTATCAAGAATGTAGCACTTGGAGCCAAATACTCGAAAGTATCCAACTTGGGGTTTGTTACCGGTGAGGAGCTCGTATGCCATCTTGTCGAGTAGCTTGTGAAGATACAAGCGATTTGTCGCATGACAAGCTGTCTCAACCGCTTCCGCCCAAAAGTGCTTTGGCGTCTTGTACTCATCAAGCATCGTTCTTGCCATTTCGATGAGCGTCCGGTTCTTCTTCTCAACAACTCCAATTTTTTGAGGTGTGTACGTAGCCGATAACTCATGTGAAATCCCTTCTTCGTCAAGAAAGGTGTCCACATTGGCGTTCTTGAACTCCGTTCCGTTGTCGCAGTGAACCTTCTTGATCTTCACTTCACATTGATTTTGGGCCTTCCTAGCAAAGTTTTTGAAGATCTTTTGGACCTGCGATGCACCCACGTAAATCTTGAAAAAGCATCAACTATAACGAGACCAAATGAGTTTCCACCAAGACTTTTGTAAGTGTTGGGACTGAAAAGATCCATGTGCAGTAGCTCGAGCGGTCTCCTTGTGGTCATGATGTTCTTCACGGGGTGGCTTCCTCCAACCTGTTTTCCCGCTTGGCAAGCACTACAAAGTCTATCCTTATCAAATATGACATCTTTAACACCAAGGATATGATCACCTTTAATAAGCTTGTCAAGGTTTCGCATGCCCACATGACCTAACCGCCTATGCCATAACCAGCCTTTAGAAGATTTAGCAATTAAGCAAGTTCTAGTTTGAGCCTTTTTAGTGAAATCAACAATGTATAGATCACCTTTGCGTATACCTGTAAAGACCATTTTATGATTATCTCTATGAAACACTTGGCAATCTAGTTTGGTAAATAGGACATTGAAGCCAAAGTCAGCTAGTCTAGAAACAGAAAGCAGATTATAGCCAAGAGATTCAACGAGCATGACATTTTGTATGGAGCTATCATGTGAGATGGCCACCTTACCGAGGCCAACCACCTTACCCTTTGAGTTATTACCAAAGTGACATACTTTTGAGGGCCGTCGTTTTCAGCAAGCTCACGAAACATATCTTTATCTCCGGTCATGTGATCGGTACATCCACTATCAAGGACCCATTCCTTTCCTCCTTCCATGTATCCCCGAAGATTTTCCATAAGACCAAAGTGTCTCATTGCATCATCAAGATCATAGTCACTATCATCATCCTCATCATAGTATCCATGTTCAACATCGTCATGTGGTGGATCAATTCCTAGAGAGGGTGATTCATTAGATAAATGATGTTGACAATGATCATCTTTATGAATTTTAATAGCTTCGGAAATAATATTGCTAATAATTCCAACATCTCCTTTGGCACGCATAAGATTTGTAAGCTCAAATAGACAATCACCAAACTTAGGATCATTGGAATTCATCTTACTCAAGGCAATAGACCTATGAATAATCTCATCTAGATTTTGCAAGGAATAATTTGGAAATCGTTCCTCAAGAAATCTCCATATAGTGTAGGCACACTTAAGAGTAGGCAAGCAACCAATCAAGTTTCTAGGCAAACCTCTAGTGATAACATTAACAATTCTAAGATTGTGAATCATGTCAATTGACTCATCAAGGGTAGGATGCATAGGATTAACATGAGGTGCACAAGGGCTAGCAATGTACTTGTTCAAATGATATTCATTGAAAATCACAAGCATCTCATTTTTCCACTCATGAAAGAACTCTCCATCAAGTATAGGCACTCTATGTCTAAGACTCCCTAAAGTAGACTCATCCATCTTCCTCCAATGGTGTTTAAACCAAAGCAATGGAGACCAAAGCTCATATACCAATTGAAAGGATCGAGAAGAGGTGTCTAGAGGGGGAGTGAATAGACGCTTAACACACAAAGTTGGCAGTTTTTAAGTTTTTCAAATTTAGGTGGAGTTTAAGCACAATTTTAACCATTCACAATACATATCAAGCAAGCATGCAAAGAGTATATGGGCAGCGGAAAGTAAAGCATGCAACTTGCAAGAAAATAAAGGGATGGGATTGGAGTGTGCAAACGCAGTTGGAGACACGGATGTTTTTGGCGTGGTTCCGATAAGTGATGCTATCGTACATCCACGTTGATGGAGATTTCAACCCACGAAGGGTAACGGTTGCGCGAGTCCACGGAGGGCTCCACCCACGAAGGGTCCATGAAGAAGCAACCTTGTCTATCCCACCATGGCAATCGCCCACGAAGGACTTGCCTCACTAGGGTAGATCTTCACGAAGTAGGCGATCTCCTTGCCCTTACAAACTCCTTGGTTCAACTCCACAATCTTGTCGGAGGCTCCCAAGTGACACCTAACCAATCTAGGAGACACCACTCTCCAGAAGGTAATATATGGTGTGTTGATGATGAACTCCTTGCTCTCGTGCTTCAAATGATAGTATCCCCAACACTCAACTCACTCTCATAGGATTGGATTTGGTGGAAAGATGATTTGAGTGGAAAGCAACTTGGGGAAGGCTAGAGATCAAGAATCATGTGGTTGGATTGGAATATCTTGGTCTCAACACATGAGTAGGTGGTTCTCTCTCAGAAAATGAGTAGTGGAAGTGTGGGCACGTTCTGATGGCTTCCCTCATGAACGAGGAGAGGGTGGAGGGGTATATATAGCCTCCACACAAAATCTAACCATTACACACAATATACCAAACTGGGTGGGGCCGAATCAGAGAACTCGGTCAGACCGATCCAGTACATAATGTGACCGTTAGGCAATTTCGGTGGGACCGATATGATAAACTCGGTGGGATCGATGTGTAGGGGTTAGGGTAAAACCTCATCTCGGTTTGACCGATTACACAACTCGGTGGGACCGTTTTGGTAATAAGCAAAACAGAGAGTTGGTTAGGCAAACTCGGTAGGACCGATTACATCTTCTCGGTGGGACCGAAAATATTGCAATAGACAATAGAGAGTTTGCAAGCCCATCTCGGTGAGACCGAGATCCCATCGGTGTGACCGAATTGATTAGGGTTTCTGGCAGTGGCTATGTCAACAGAACTCAGTGGCGCCGGATGGATCAAATCGGTGGGGCCGAGTTTGACTTTTTGTTTTGGACATATGTGGATATGAGAAAGTGGTTGAGGGCTTTGGAGCATATCACTAAGCACTTTGAGCAAGCAAGCCATTAAGCAACACATCATCCCCTTTTAATAGTATTGGCTTTCCTATAGACTCAATGTGATCTTGGATCACTAAAAATAGAAAATGTAGAGTCCTGAGCTTTGAGCTTGAGCCAATCCTTTGTCCTTAGCATCTTGAAGGGGTTCCACATCCTCTTGTCCATGCCACTCCACTGTTGGACTTATCTGAAATATACTAGATGAAAGTGTTAGTCCAACAAGAGATATATTGACATTAATTACCAAAATCACCCAGGGAGCACTTGTGCTTTCAGTAGGCATTCCAATCTTTGGAAGCCTTCAAGGCCCGACATAAGGACAAGCCTTTCGCTCTAACACATTGTTGGTCGCTCATCAAAGATTGTCCCAAGTTCAAAGACCAATATGCCGCTCTTAAGAAGAAAGGAGGGAAGGCGACCATGGCTGACAATGGAGATTTTCTCAAGAGGCCGAGGGACAAGACCAACTCGAAGGCCTACGAGAAGCGTGATGCGTCATCCATCACCTTGCAAGCAACTTTACACGACATGATGATTCCAAAGGAAGTGAGGGAGGAGAGGAGGATCAAAGGGAAGAAGGAGCAAATGAAGATATACTTGGAGCACCAAACAAAGAAGCTTGACATGGAGGATGCCGCCAAGAGAAGGAAGTTCGACATTGAGGATGCCGCCTAATCGAAGAAGCTCGCGATTGAGGCCACCAATGCCGATACCAAGGCAAAGAGGTGGCGCTAGCTATCATGAGCGTTGACAAGACCAACATGTCCTTGAAGAGAAATATTTGGTTCGTGAACCGACAAAAGGAGATGTTCGAGCAAGACGGCCTAAACTAGGGAGGCCTCGACCGTGAACTATGGCCGTTCATTTTGAAGGCTGACTAGTGTGCCAACCGCTGGCTTTGTTGTCAGCGTGAAACTTGGGACTTGATCGTTTTGTAGGCTGACATATGTTTGCCTGTCGCTGCATGAACTGTAGCCGCTGGCCGCTGGCATGAGACTACGTCCACTTTTTTACTTTTGCATGCGGTCGGAAGAGATGCGGCCGATATGCCGGCGAATCCAGAAAAATGGCCGGACGCCGTCCCATTATCCTATTGAAACAGACAAAATCCAAACAAAACGAGCGTCCATTTGGGTTGTGCGTTGAAGTTTGCTTAGGACTCGAGGATTTGTCAGCGGATGTCTGCGGCACCAAAAAGAAAAAATGAGACCAACCAAAGGCTAACCCTCGTTGGCATTTTTTTATAAAAGAAACTGCACGAGTACCGCGCGTTCGAGACGGGTCTCGAACCCGGATGAGCTGGCAGCTACCTCAGCTGCTCAGTCAACGGGTCGACGCCCGGTCCTCGATGTCTGCGGCACCATGTCTGTTGGATGCGGCAGAAAACGTGAGGAGGCATTGGGTGATTGGACCTGTCCGGACGTTTGCGTCATGGCGATTGGGGATGCCCTTCTGCACAAACCAAACATGCCGTAATCCTCCGTTCCGTCCTGCCAAAGCTAGTCCGCCAGCTCGAACCCTCGCGCAACTCCAGCGATGGCGCGGAAGAACAAAGGGAAGAAGACCAAAACCAAAAAAGCGCCACCTTCCTCCACCTCGCTTCCTCCCCCGCCTCCGGTGGAGCCACAGGCTACCGAGGCGGCGGCCTCCATCGATATCCTCGCCGAGTTCGACATCTTCAACATTCTCCGCCGTCTCTCCCTCTCCGACCTCCTCCGCGCCGCCCTCGCATGCCACCGCTGGCGCCGCCTGGCCGCCCGCTGCCTCCCTCCCGCCCCTCCTCTCCTCGGCTACTTCCACCACCCAACCCACCCCCTCCCCCGTTCCCCGGCCGGGATACCAAGCTCGAGGACACCCCCGCCGTGTTCGCTCCCCTCGATGCCGCCTCCCCGCGCCTCACCCTCGACTTCGCTCCGGACGCCTTCCGCTTCCTCCTCTTCGACTCGCTCCAAGGCCTCTTGCTTTTCGAGTCGTCCGACGAGATACAGAAGGACAAGGGGGCCATGCCCCGCTTCCTCGTCCTCGACCCGCCCACCCGCCGCCGCACGGTCCTCCCGCCCCCGCGCCGCGACACGGTGCCCGATGACCGCCGCTGGCGCGGATCGAGGTACTACATCGGCTCCGCGCTGCTCTCCCGCGCTCACCCGAGCAAGCTCTGCTTCCAGGCTGTCTGCTTCGCCATCGAGGAGGGGCGCCCTCGCGCCTGGGTCGCGTCCGTCACCAACGGCGACTGCAGCTGGCGCGCGCTCCCGCGGGACGAGGAGGCCGAGGTCGACTTCAATCCCTGGTTGTTCGAAAACCGCGGCGTGCACGCAGGCGGGAAGATATACTGGCACATCTGCAACTCTCCGCGCATGCTCGCGCTGGACCCTGTCACACTCAGGTTCTCCTACCTGCACGGCCCGCGCGCGCTGGCTGTCGACCCGATAACTGTGTGCAAGGTCCGCGTCGGGGAGACGCCGGATGGGCGGCTTTGCTTGGTGACCGACGGCGAGCAGCAGCTGCAGCTCTGGGTGCGCGGGGAGGGCAGGGGGAGCGACAAAGGTTGGCTTCTGCAGAAGAGTGTCGCGGAGTTGAGCACGCTGTGCGACATGATTCCTGGCATGCCCAGCGACGCGGAAATGATTCCTGGACCTCGCAAGCCCACCGACATCGAGATGGTTCCTGGCATGCCCTGCGAACGGACTGTTTGCGTCTGGCCCAGCGACATGGACGTCGGTCGCACGGGGAAGGTGTTCATCAAGACCTGGGGATTTGGGCGCTACTCGTACGATATGTACACCGGCAAGCTGGAGCGCCTGGCGACGAAGCGTGGCAAGGAATATGGGCACCCCATGTTCGCCTACTTCCTGGCATGGCCACCCGCCTTCCTCGCTCCAGACCCAGAGTACATCCCTCTCCTCTCACTCATGTCATTTCTGTTCAGCGATGTTGCCTGCTCTTTTGCACACTCGGATCATTTTGTGTTTCACGTGCCTGCTTGGAGTAGGCTAGTATAACTTGGAGGCGCAAAGGCATCCAGCCTTTCCAGGACTTGTATGGTTATAGGGAGTTCTTAGTTGCAAGATATTGACATCATTTTTGTTATTGCAAGATATTGAAGTGATTATGCTCAAAATGACAAGGATTTGGGGGGCATTCAATACTTGTCTGTCTTACAAGTTCTCATCACAAGTCCTGTTGGTTGTATTGTAGAGATAATGACACACTTGATACTTCCTTAATTTGTGCTGCATGGTCTCGTCTCTACACATGTTCATTATCCTGTCCTGCCGTATTTCACATTCTGAAAGTTTCCCAGTTACAATTTCTGAATTATTCTTGCACAACTTCCTAGTATGCTTCGAATGGACATTGATCCCACCATGTCACTGTCGTAGAACTGGTGTTATTCAGTACACGCTACGTGATACGTAATTTTGGCACCAGGACCAACATTATGTTTACATTGGTAACTGCGTTGTTCATGGATTGTAAAATTCATTCTGACATTGCAGTTTTGTACATTAGGTTTACGTTTTGTCTTTTAACTGCCTGCTCACTCTGATTTCCTTGCTCATTTTGATTTGTTATAAACTGCTTTTATGTTACCTTTAGATTTCCAAAGTGCAGATTTTTTTATGCTGGGAGTTGTAGTGAGCTTCTTTCACAGGCTTGGTGCAAGTTTCATATTGGGTATTTTAGCTTCTGTTTATGAATTGAATTCCTGGGAAATCAGCATCTTAATGTGTTCTTTTTTCTCTTACACATTTGCCTTGTGGTACTGGTTTGGGAGATGATCCTCATTATTCACATTAAGTTCCTAACTGTGGCCCTCGATGTGACCTTTACTTTCTCTTTATCTTTACAATTGATAAGGACACAATCTTGCTTGTATTTTTGTAGTATCTGATCATTTAGAAGATCAAAGAAATCGAGAAAGGATATTACTGGTGTCAAACATGCATATGATCATATATGTGCCGTTCACTGTGTGATTATTGGTTAATTAGGTACCTCATTCTCCTCACTGCATGAAATCAATTGATGATTTGGCTACTTTTGTCTAGAAAATAGCACATTTTATTCAGTTTTCTTTTCTTAATACGGTAATTGTCAGTTTGTCTGAATTGTTGCAGTCATTTCGACAATTCTTTAAGAGAAAATTCTTTTACTGGTATTCACTTCGAGTAGGTTTGAATTCTGAACAGTAAACAGCATAGACATGAGCTTTGAATTATTTTTTATACTGCTTGCTAATCCTGCACTTTCGTCAAGTTATATTGGTTTGTTTCAGTGCAAGTTTGGTAGCTGATACTTGTGTCATTTCTATGATTCAGGCCGTTTGGTGATTTGTAAGGAATTGGCGCATCTTTGTTTGAAGTCAGCTCTTCATTACGGTCAAAAAAAAGTCAGCTCTTCATTTTTGGGTCACTACTTTCGTGCTACCACCTCAGGTTGAGCTCATGGGGAACCTCTGATTACCTTGACCTTCATGCCAGCATTTAAGCAATCTTTTGATGCTATGTTTATCCAAACGTCATTTGGACTTGATGATATTCAGCAAGGTGTACTGTTAAATTATGCTTATTTTGGACGATGCATTGTTTTGGTCGTATTCCGTAATATTCATCGAATTTCGACTTCCGTAATGTTCTGGCTTGCCTTGGTATTTTGCAGGTTTGGCCATTGCGAGTCAATGATTGTCAAAGCTTTTATTTACGAATCTAGTGATAGTTGAGTCTTTTTCTTTTTTTTTTTGAAAAAAGAGGAGTACCCCGGCCTGTGCATTGCGTGATGCACACAACCATTTATTAAAGTGAACCGAGTATCTAGTATGTTCCAAGCAATGATCCGGAAAAGGTAAAAATAAAGATTACAGGATGAGTTGCCACAACCGGCAAAACAGGACAACATGCCTACACACATATCCGAAAAGGTAGCCATAGTTGAATCTTGAATTTGGATAGTACTAGGATTTGTTTCGATAGTTGAATCTTGAATTTAGATATACCAGGATGTGTTTGATTGTTAGCATTTGTCCCATGCAGGCCCTAAGGATGCCAAACGAGTCGATTTGCTTAGCTAGGATGCATCAAATTTGTGGGTCGCACGGTTCTTAAAGCATCCTCGGTCTGGCAGTGGAATTCGCATGTTTCCACAGGGTGCATCATTGCACGCGGCTACACACGGTCGGGAAGCACAGGAGATGGGATGCTTTGGTCATAACTCCCCTCGCCACTCAAACCCCTCTTCTTTCACCACCCCTTCGTTGGCACTGATGATCGGCTTTGCTCGACCATCGTGCTACCCAAATCCTCGTCCCCTACACTAGTGCTCACCTCTGGTGGCTCGCCGGCGTTGAGGCAAGGAGCCTCAAACCTGGGGATATGAAGAGGATGCTCAAGTCTCCTTTTCCATCTTCACCAAGTCACGCTCGACATGTATTGAGCCCTCATCAACGGCGGGTACCTTGACGCGTACGGGTGGGAGTTCGGGTGCGGCGGCGGGGACATCGTTTGCGGCTGCATGGAGTTCCAATGAGGGTGTCAGAAAATCCGTAGCTTTGGAGGCAGGGAATTTGACACCCGCCGCGGCTCCCCCAACTGGAGCGTCAGGGTCTTCTTCTCCGGCTTCGACGTCAACACCTCTATCGTATGCGGCCACTGTAAGTTTTTTGATCTA